TCCTCCTATGCTATATACACTTTTGTTTCATTACTGTTGTTGGTATGACAACTTGTCAATAAAGTAATATCGTCATGAAATGTGTCACACTTTTCATTCTTCAAAGTCCTAAGATCCGTTCTAAACATTTAACAATGCGCATTTCCATGATACAATAGTGTCAAATTTCCGGCAATGGTGCCTCATTTTAAAAAATACTTTATTTTACTAGGATTGAGAATTATTGGTGATATGGTAATAATAGTACTTATTCAGCACCAAAATGTTTTTTTTTTCACAAAATTTTTACCCAAGGGTTCAAAGGACAAAACATACTGCATTCTTTATTTTTCCATTTATTTTAGAGTGCTTCTATCATCCGAAAACAACACCAAAGTCGGTACAACAAATACATTTTGAGTCATTTTACTATTATAAAAAATGCCGCCATTTTGAATCCACAAATGGAAGTCAAAGATCAATCTGCTCCGGGTCAAATCGACTCTATGAACCTATAGAATCTATATGCGAGATGGCATGCTTTCTTCAAGAAAAGTTACTTTTTCTCAATATTTTCAGTCTACCGCTTATGCTATTATAGGCTGACCTACTAAGTTTCGACAATAGTGAAAAAAAGGTTTTTGAGAAATTATAATTAAAAAAAATATATTTGCTCATAAAGTTTCGTACACCCTGTAACTTCGAAACGAAGCGTTTCCGGGCCCATGCTACTTTTTTTTTCTATTTTGATAAGTAGATATTTCTGGGACTAAATGACGTCTTATAGGAGATTCAAACAAGAAATATTGATGTAGCTGTATTAACGGAAACCAAGAAGAAAGACTCAGGAATAGAAAAAGTAGGAGAATACCTATACATTTATAGTGGCGTTCCCAAAGAAGAACGAGCCGCAGAGGCGGTATCGATTGTATCAATTGTAATGAAAAACAGAAAATAACCAATTGATAAACAAACACTGACCTCATTTTGACGGGAAATATCAATCTCTGAGGGCACAAAATCCCTATTATTGGTGTATATGCCCCAGTAATGACGCAGCTGCCATAATAAAAAATAACTTTTTTGACTGTCCTAACAATACCCCGGGAACAATTGGCTACCAGACGGAGATTATAATTATGGGCAACTTAAAGATAACTCATGACAACGGAGAAAGGCTAATAGAATGTTGTCAACAACACAGCCTAAAAATTTTGAATGGCTTCTTCCTACATGAAGACATCCACCGCTTCACTTGGCATCAGGAAACAAGGCAAATACGATCAATACTTGACTACGTTATTCTGCGACAGGACTCAAAATTGATATGTCAAGATGTTACAGCATTTCGTGGAAGCGATAATTTTCTAGTCAGAGCAAAGTCAAAAATCCTCTTCAGAAGGACAAACAATACGAGACTGGATGACGATTCAACAAGCTTCGATACTATTAATAACCCGGCGTCTTACAAACTAGAGCTTTTTCGAGAAGAAAGTACTTATATTGAAGCCGCTTAAACAAAAAACTTGACAAAAACTTGATAAACGCATCAGATGATCTACATATACTCTCATTTGACAATTACAATAAAAGCCCCCGCCATGAAGAGCTTGGGAACTTACGAAAAAGGCAAGAGAAGGCTAACCGATGATATGAAGAAAGAACTTGAAGAGCAAAAAGCAAAGAAACAGGAGCTCAGCACAGACACACAGGAAGACCGAGAATTCTATAAAAGAGAGTTAGCTTCTTTTATGCGACTTCACAAAAAACCAAAGAACAAATGTGGGGGAAAGAGTGCGGTGAAAAATGCCTTTATTGGGGGCACAAGATCAACAGAGACATGGCGGGCTATAAACCCCGAAAAAAAAAACCACAAGACCAAAGTAAATCTTCCAATAATTAGCCTGAAAGAATGGAAAGAACACTAGGAAAAAAAACTTAAAGAGGAAAGGCTAGAAGAATACACAACCCTATTTCCAAGAGCTTACAAAAGTCAGGGAACGCCGATCGAAATAATGAGACAAATGATCGACAAAGCTCTAAACTCTCTAAAAAATAACTGAGCATGCAGCCCCGGAGGAATCCCAGCCGAAACAATTACATACGACTTCTCAAAACTGAAAAACCTTTTATCAGTGCTTATGACTAGATACATGAATGGAGAAGCCTCCATAGCGAAACAAAATATATGTGTCTGGGAGGAGACCCAATAGATCTCACACAAAATAAAATTTTAGCTATATACAAGGTTGCGAGGAATATACATAACTTGGAGTGTAGATTGATAGCAAGGGAAGAAGTGAAAAAGAAATAACAGAGAGAACAATAAAAGACAAGAAAGTAATTGGAGCAGTTAACTCTGTACTATGTGGTCGAAAAATATCACGCCCACCATTAAAACCCTAATATACAGGGTGTTTGGTGCATCATTTGCCAAATTTAACTGCTCGAAAGAAGGGGTCATTATTTGCTAACTCTTCAGCCACAATAACTCATCCTTGACCCCACGGGTTTTTTTTTTAATTTGATATTTTTTTTTGAATCTCAATTTTTTTTTTAAATCAAAAATTTCCATTGTAATAAAAAAAAAACTATTCTCTAAAATGGGCTCTTCTTTCGGGCAGTTAAATTTGGTAACCGATGCACAAAACACTCTGTATAATGCTATTGTGGAGAGCACCATGACATACGGATGCGAAGTGTGGCAACTTAACTAACAACAGACAAGACTGCTATCTACCAAAATGGATTCTTGGCGTAGGTCAACAAGAATATCTCGACTGGAACACGTGAGAAATGATAGAATTCGCCAGACAATGAAAGTTAGGAAAAAGGTTACGCAAAACATTGAAGACAGACAGCTGAAATGGTACCGTCACGTTCAAAGGATGTCACCAGAAAGAATTCCCAAGTTGGTAATGTAATGGACTCCCCAAGAAAGACGAAAACGAGGAAGATCCAAATGCTCTTGGATGCAAAGAATCTGAAGGGTCGTGTCCGGACGTAATCTCAATATAGGGGATTAGAATCACCATGAGAGATGGAGAATGGGAACCGGAGGACGTAGAAGAATGCCATAAGCCAGACATATAAAATAAATAAGCATACTTCCGGTTATACCAATTCTTGTCCTAAAACTTTGTTAAGCCCGTATTACATCTGTGTATTTTTTCGTGAATTTCTTCATGTAGTTCAGGGTGACAACCGAAAAACTTCAAACGCAACATAAATCAGCATTATGAAAAACAAAATAATTTTGGCACCCTGAACAGCATGACGAAATACACGGAAAAATACACAGATGTAATACAGGCTTTACACCAATTTATCTACTGCCTTTCCTGACAAACGCATCTCATCAGAATATTTCCCAAAAAAAACAGTAGTTAGGACAAGCGCAGTTGCTAGATTATGCAATAAGAGTGATGCTGTGTAACTCGTAGAAGAGAAAATTAAGACTGATAGCATTATGGTTGCTGTTTCGATCTGGTTTTCTGATATGGTATGTTCGCTCGAGTTGTACTGAATAGAAAGGATAAGTTCAAGACCCTACTCTAACCAGCAGAGTATCCAATGAATGAGACTTCGATGTCCTCTTCATCGACATACAGAGCACAATCACTTGTATTGCTTTTTCTAGCAGTGTCTAGATGCGAAAAATCCTGATTGTATTAGGTAGTGAATTTGTACCTTTGTTTTATTGTGAATTCTTCTAAGGGACAAGGGCGGCCTAAAGGGGGGGGGGGTGAGGGGGTAATTACCCTTCCCTGACAAAGATTTTTTTCTATACATTTATAAATTACAACAAAATTTCCAAAAAGTTCTACAAAGTAAACCATCAAAGGCATCGTATAAATATGTTAGGCTCACCAGTACCGACGTATCTACTACTATACAGTGAGATAAAGGGTATTCCATTTGAAAAAAATTTGCTATGATTGTTTGAAATGTCTGGTTTTGTAGTTTTGTGTACAGTATCGCGAACACCGTGTAGAATGTTATCAGATTTTCATAGGACCATGAACGAAATGTAAGTATGCACTAACAACCTGCAAAAGTTTTAGCTTATAGGATCTCCAATGAATGAAATATGTTGGTTTTTGTTGACACGTGCAAACTGCGATTTTTCGAAAAAATATTAAATATTTCGAAAAAGGTTGAGTTTTGGTATAGGTGATTCCTAACAAAAGGTATGTAGGCTCTTAGAACGATCCATAAAGTATAGGGTGTTCCATTTAAAAATAACAAAGTTCTATCCTATAGCCCATTTACGAAGCACCTTGTATATTTAAAAATATTTTGCATTGCATCACTTTGTAAGGAGATATCGTCCGATATTGCAATAAGTGGACACCCTATAACTATTTTGACGGCATCGGGATACATTTTTCCCGATGCGTGTTTTTTAAACGACTTTCGGGTGCAAATTTGGGCGTGGCACCCCAAAAAAAATTTCCCCTCCGGCGGTACGTTGCGTCACTTGATAATTTTCCCTTCATCTATTACCCCCCCTCCCCCCGGATAATCATGTATGGACCGCCACTGCTCAGGGAGAATATTCTTAGGTTTTTTGCTAAGGATTTCAAACTTTCACGGTTTTCAATATTACTGCTGCGTACCTGACCTCTTTATTGATGGCCACATATAGTTCACAGTCGTAAGATAGATGTTCTTCTTGACATGATTTACCGTGAACACTTCAACCATAAACAAAAAATTAGGCAGTTCTTCTTGGCGTTATTTACATTAGACATCTGATTTTTTTCAACCGATTAGAATAGATACCTACCTCTGGGGCTTTGCTTCAATTTGGCATCAATTTAATGATGGATCCATGTTTGACTACAGCGAGGATTATAGTATCCCTAAATTTAGTTGTACCCAATTTATTATTATGTTTCTTGTGTTATTTTTCAAGTTAAGCGGGTATTGCAATAGTAGATATTCGCCAATACAATGTTCTAAATCCGAAAAATAGAATCCCTATATTTAATTTTAATTCCTTTCTCAATATTTTGTAGGAATTAATTAAAACCTTTGATGTAAGCAAGAATGCGACTAACCCACGTAATAGAGTTTTAAGGTCAAATCCATCCACCAATAGTTTGTATGGAACTGACGTGGTTTCCGAAGAACATAAGACTTTAGTAGAAAATATATCAAAGCATGTTATATATGGTAAGTAGAGAATGAAACCAATTAACATTATAGTTCTATTTAAATATTTCATTGAAAAATAAAAATTTCTCATTATCCTACTATGCCTCGGATTTTAGCCATAGCTTTTTTATACAAGAGTCTGGGGAACGGACCGGCGGAGCTCCGTAATTCGTAATAAGTGGTGGATTTTATATGTATTTTAAACAAAACAAACCAAATCGAAACTAAACCAAACTAACCCGTCCTCTTAATAATCTTTAAAAGAAAAATAAAAACCCTAAAGAGAAAAAAAAAATTAAAAAAAAAAGCGTATTGCCTTCAAAGAGAATCGAACCCGGGATCATTTGCGCCAAAATCCGTGCGTCGTGCAATAATTTTCTTGCATGAATTTTTTTTTATTCGCTTATTGGAAAGAGGAGTCCAAATTAGGCTCAACTATATTTTTTTCCGATTTTTTCGGACTTACAAAGGCTCCAAATTTCGATTTGAAGTTCAAATTTCTTGGTGCCGTGACGTTACGGCACCAAATTTCTGATTGGTCAATTTCATCCAGTGTTGCCCAGATGTTATGGTTTTTATGTAAACTTTTCCTGGCGGGGACAATTAAGTCGATATATCGAATCCTCGAATCCACAGATTTGTAAGTATCGGACGGAATATCGAATCGATTCTCATTCCTATGAAAAACTTAACCCAACTTTTTAATTCATTATAATCATTATTTATTTTTATTTATTAGCCTGTCCAAACCTCCAAAACAGGCAGAAGGCAGAGAAGGCAGGCACACAAACCATCAAGAAACAAACCATAACCCCGAGCATAAGGCCATTATGTCGTTCATAATTAAATACCTTAGGTACTCATTTTCTAGTGTGTGCGTCTAAATTTTAGAAGCTTCTTCCCAATAAGCATATAAGGGAATCATTGTTTTGGGAAGGTTGCTCTACTCTACCTGCATTTTACTAATACCTACCTACCGAGTACCTACCCTTCGCCCTTCATGTGAATTTTTTTCCGAAAGCATATTCATGCTCACCTCTGGCCAGTTTCCGGAATCGGCTTTTACAAACCCTTTTCCATCCTCCAACCCACAAACAAAATAAACAATAATTATCTAACTATTAAAATTATTATTTTTAGTTATTATTAGTATAATTTGTATGTGTCTGTATTCCATACCTTCCAGTTTCTCTAAAGACGTTTTTAAATTTTCACAGGCAAAAACATCCTTTTTTTTCTTCAAATTACACTGCCCCAGCCTGTTGTTTTTTGTTGTTAATTATTGTTTATTTTGTTTGTGATGGAATGGAGGAACAGGGTTCGTAAAAGCCATTGTGATGATAGGTAAATTGGCCAGCCAGGCGTCACTGACCTAATAGTAAACAAAAATCGCTATTATCGTTTTCGTAATTTATACTGTGCCGGATTAGTACAGATACCGATTTCTTTGTTTAATTCGCATTTATAGACAAGGAAAGAAAATTGTCGATACTAGTCGATACTTCAATTTATAGATGTCGTTCTTCTCTTTCAAGTCTAGGGCTGTACCAAAGTCGATACACAGAGCGATTTTGATATATACAGGGTGTCCCACAATCAGCGTTACAGGCCATAACTTTCTTATTTTTAGAAATAAAAATTTGAAAAAAAAAAATGACCAATGGTTAGTTAAGCTCTCTTCAAAAATATAAAAAAATCTTCCCCTGACAAAATCATCCCCTATTTACAACCCTTTACTTTTTTTTTTTCAAATGGCACCCCTAATTTATTTTTTTATTTTTGAGAAGTTCATGAAATTGCAAATTCAATGATGTATGAAAAGTTTGTTTTTCCATGTTTCCTTGGAAAAAAAATTCGAAAATGAAAATAATAAAAATGGGGTTCTATTTGAAAAAAAAGGCAAGAGTTGTTTTTAGGGGATGAGTTTGTTAGGGAAGATTTTTTTAATATTCTTGAAAAGGGGTTAATTTGCACACAATTAATTTTTTTTTGTCATATTTTTATTTTTGTAGACAAAAATGTGATTGCCTGTATAAGACTAAGGGTGGGACACCCATTTTTTTTCCCCCAAGAGACATGGAAAAACAAACTTTTTATACACCATACAAATTTGTAATTTCATAAGCTTCTCAAAAAAAATAAATAATAGGGGTGCCATTTGAAAAAAAAAAGTCAAGGGTTGTAAATAGGGGATGATTTTTTCAGGGGATGATTTTTTTATATTTTTGAAGAGAGCTTAATTAGCCATTAATAATTTTTTTGTTTCAAATTTTTATTTTTGAAAATAAGAAAGTTATGGCCTGTAACGCTGATTGTGGGACACCCTGTATATATATGCCTTCTTTTTTGTCCGATGTGTTAAAAAAGAAAAAAAAAAAAAAAGATTCGTTTGGAACATGGAAACTTGATAATCAGTGATTTTTGATTGTGCAAAAATATGGCGCAAAATTCAATTAATCTGCTTTTTTTTCTTTCAATTTCTGGCTTCAAGATTTTTTAAAAAATTAACCAACCATACTCTTATGTAGTACATAAAATACACTTTCGTTACAGATAAATTATATACCTAATTTTGATTGAGTGCAAGAGGTCTATTGCGCCACACCGTGTCTGTCAAAATAATCGTAGAAATCGAAGTAATAAAGTGCGCAAAACATTACCTTTCCTAAGCTATAATGATACATTTGGCAACGAAGGGCGTTTTAACTGATCCTAAACGAACCTATTAGGATCGGTGCAACATTTTGGTGAATAATTTAGCCACACGCGGAATATTGTTCGGCATCCTCCGGAGCTCCGCCTGTATGCTCCCCAGACTCTTCACTTTTTGATTAGGTTGTAGTTCCTTAGTAAATTCATCTATTCATATGGTTACGAAAATGTTTCGGAAAATGTTATTAGCTCGTCTATATGGATTTAGAGTATTTTGTTGTTAGCGTTTGGGTATCGATTATAATTGTTTAATATTATCTAATTATTTTTCACTTGATTGTGGATGTGAGTATAATTTCAACTTTTAGTTTTTAATATTCCATGTAAAATGGACAGCATTTTCCGTCAATAAATAAGTTAATAAAACTGTGAACCTATTTGTCATTTGAAACCTATCAAATTGAAAAACAAAAAACTTTTCACCCAATATTATTTTAGATTGCGCACAATCCACTGCCGTGATGTCAACAAACGCTTTAGCTTTCATATTGCTTACTAAATATAGAGATGGTGCAAGTCTGGAACAACTAGTGAGGGAATTAGAAGATCTAAAAAATAATCTGAATTACGCTGGAAAGGATATTGGATTCGATGGCGATTCGGTGGATGTTATCAACTATGGGGTATAAAAAATATGAATAATATTCCAAATTAATTTTATATTGCTTATCTTCGACAGTAGGAAAACTTTTTTTGAAAAATATTCAATTCCTACCTATATTGGGATGTCTTATGAATATTTATTCAGGTTGAAAAAAAAATGGCAATTCAAGAATCTTTGTCTTAGGATTGGTTTATCAAAAGACGGTTATTTAGTTTAGAGTTTAGCTGTCGATTAACTGATAATTAACTAACAATTAGTTAATCGACAGCTAAACTAAATAAGCGTCCACTGATAAACCGGCCCTTAGTCATTCTGCTTCAATTTTATTTATCTCAATGCGTGCTATCTAGTCAGATCGAATAAATGAAATGAATTTGCAGTATTTATAGTGCATTCTGGTAGAAAAGCTTTTGCAAAGAATTTCGGTCATAATAAAATTTGTGCTCAACTTATCCAATATTTTCAAACATGCATGCTTTGAAGCACTGCCAGACACAAAAAAAAATACCAAACTTATAGGAACCTTCTTTTTATTAGTAAATAATTTAAAAGATATGCTTTAACAATCACAGTTGATAACCACTAAACTAAATCATAATTTTTTAAATTTTTATCTAGGTCGAACTACTTGGTCCTGGTTTAATAAGAAAGGAAAAAAATGTGATCATACCTGTAGTCACGTTGCCAAACGTCATAGACCTATCCTATTACAGCAACAGCCTCGTTACACATTATGCCTTAGAATCCGTGGTAGCTTTAGCCTTGAGTATCTCAATATCCAATGTGAATACGGTGTCCTATGATGATCTGATGGAAAAGGCTTTGGAGCTCTGTTCGCTGTTCCAGTACGAATTTCTATTTTGTAAACCTTGCCAGAACTTGGAAAATACAATAAGCAGTTGTATTAACGATTTGAACCTAAGGAAAGGAATATTTTTACCTGATGTAAGTCTTATACATTCTCTATTTTATTTTGTTGCGAATAAGCCTATTTAGTGTTTCAATTCCCATTGAAAGGATGCTGGATTTACAATTAGTGAATTAAGACATTTGGTGGAATGAAACTTTCAACAATTTTTGTAATAAATAAGTTTAAATTCAACCTTATTATTTGCGGAATAGCAGAGATATTCTAATTCAGACTATACCTATTGCCCCTATGATATAGCTTCACTTCAATATAAGGTATCCTTGAACGCACAAAAACGAAGCTCGTACTCTAGTGCAAATGCATCCTGAAGTGAACCTAGGTCCATCTACCATGATGCCAGGAGGTGCCAGGCGCCAATTTAAAAATTAGGAAGGAAAGTCAATACAGGTAGCCAAGAAATACAGTGTAGAAGAAGAATAAAAAATAATTTGCAGACCTAAGCTTCGGTTTGACATTGAAGAAAAATAATTTGGTTGTACAGTCAAACGAGGATCTCCTTAGGATCAATACCTACAGTAATCTATGAAGTCATAGATGAAGTCGAATGCCCTACTTTTGTCAAAATCTGCTTTGTTCAATGTGGAGGATTTTAAACTACTTACGACCCAAATACCTCTTTCAAGAGAAAATGAAATTTTGCAATCGCCGAAAAGATTAGGAAATATTATTTACAATACAATATACAGGGTGTTTCATGAACATCGGAACAGAGGCGTTTTAGGGTATTTCAAGGTAGATTTAAAAAAAAAGAAAACGGACACGTCATTTTTGTATTCAAGTGGGAAACTTTTTGATCCCATCGGTATTTCGCTAGGGTGCACCCCCTGGGTGGGGTGACTTTCACCTCTCTTTTTTAGATAGGGATGATGGGTCGAGTGGTACCTACCTTGTTTTAAAGGTATTTTGATTCTTCAGAAGTGCGTATTTTTTTTTGAAAATCCCAAGATATTCCTACTGTCAAAGTTGCCATGGGCTAAATAAGAAACAATCTTCTGGCCCTGTTATTCTCAAATTAACACTTTTCTGACTTTCCTCTCGGACACATCAATTTTCATATTTTGTGTGCTTCTCAAAATATTAAAATTGACGTGTCCGAGAGAAAATTCAGGAAAGTGTTAATTTGAGAATAACAGGGCGACAAGATTGTTTCTTTTTTAGCCCATGGCAACTTTGACAGTAAATAGGTATCTTGAGAAATAATCATTCGATTTTCAAAAAAAATACGCACTTGTGACGAGAATCAAAATACCTTTAAAACAAAGTACCACTCGACCCATATTTCCTATCTAAAAAAGAGAGTTGAAGGTCACCCCACCCAGGAGGTACACCTCAGCGAAATACCGATGGGGTCAAAAAGTTTCCCCTCGAATACAAAAGTGACGTGTCCGAGCGTTTTTTTTTTTAATCGACCTTGAAATACCCTTAAACGCCTCTGTTTCGATGTTCATGAAACACCCTGTATGTATATCATGTACCTATACCGCTTGGTATATCTTTACATTCTTTAATTCCCATATCAAATTATGTCGAACTGTTCAGATAGTGTTATGAACCTAAGAGTAGATGATACCGTGATACAGGATTCTACATCAGATTTTGAAACCCATCTGAATTCCCAATTATAGCTGCTACAAAAAAATTGAAGAGGGAAGTTGTATTGTTCTTGTTTATTATTATTATTTACGAGGAAAAATATATGACCATTGACCATCGTTAATGTCCAATCCTATGTAGGTAATATTTTCATTGTTCTAATGGAATGGTACCTATACTGTGCCTATAATTCACATCTCGACACTTTTTTTAAATAATTTATTGTCTAATTTTAATCGATGAAAATAAGTTGGCCATGTTTTCTATTTGCGTGAACGATAATGCATTCATTCCAGTATTAAAAGATCTTTCAAAAACTCAGATCACAGTGGATTTTGAGCAGCCAATGATCTCCTGAAGGAACCATTCCAACACCAGACCTCTGCAGTAGTAAATCTCTCAACACCTGCTTCAACAACTGAAAAATGCTATCTTGTAATTTGTAAATCGGTAGGAAATATTTTTTCCAATAACTATTACGACGCCGGTTGACACAACAACGATAGCAATTGTCGGGAAACTTACTTAACATCTGTAATTGTCACCAGCTGGGGGAGACTGGGTAACACTGAGACACTTTTTTTTCTAATGAAAATATTTCAACATAAACCTTAAACTAGGTATTTATTTTATTTTCACTCAAGAATATATCCATCAAGCTAGTAATTCATTACGTTTTTGATTCTACCGGGTGCCCACGAGATCACTTTCCGGCTGCCATTTTTTTATTTGTCTATCGATATCAACGAAACTTGGTAGGGTTGATATCAGTGGCGTATCCAGCCTGAGGTTCTGGGGGGGGCAAACCTGGTATGTCCGCCATGGGCGGAAATTTTTTTTGAGGTGCCACGCCCAAAAGTCTTCAAAACCACACAATCGAGTATTCGATACTTTTGTAGGATAAAATATATAAGATTTTCACAGAAAAATAAGGTAGTGCTATAGTTCCGTAATATTAGCCTGCCAGCCACCACTGAAAAAATCTTTGGGCGGTTCATTATAATGATAAGAGGTTAATAACTGGAATTATTTGTTTTCCATAGAAATCGACTTTCAAGAACCAGGTAACATGTGTAATATAAAATCAAACTAAAATTTAATTCAAAAGTCAAAGATATACAGGGTGCGGCACGAAAAACTTCCCACCCAGGTTTTCTCAGGTGTCAGGTGATAAATCAAAAATCGCTAGGAAACATCACTTTTTGTTTTTGAGGGACTTTATTTATTGATATTTTCACCCCTCACCTGTGAACCCATAAGCGGGGGTGACAGGTACCAGGTACCCCCCAAAAGTTCAAATGGAAAGGGGGGTCGAGTGATGCGTTATTTGTTAGCTATTTTTATTAAGATTATATCTCCAATGTTTCAAATTGCTACTATCAACCCTGTCGAAATAGAAATAGCTTGTCAAAGCTGTGTGTTTTTTACCTCATATTAACAAATTAACATATTTTTCAAGTGAATAAACATGAACCATTTTGAACTGAACTGTTGAATGACGATACTCAGATTAAATGCCAATGTTATTTTATTACTATGGATAGGTACCCTTCAAAAATCTGTTGTTTTGTTATTATTTGGTGATAATCACACAATTCAGATACTCGGAAAAAAGCATTTTTCCTAACTTTGACACACTGCCATTTCGGTAGAGAAAATAGTAGCAATTTAAAATTTTGAGGATATAATTCATACAAAAATAGCTACCAAATGACATATCACTCGACCCCCTTTGCATTTGAAATTTTGGAGGTACCTGTCTCCCCCGCTTAGGGGTTGACAGGTAGGGAGTAAAAATATCAACGAAATGTGTCCCCCAAAAAACAAAAATTGACGAGTTCGAGCGATTGTGGATTGATCACCTAACACGTGAGAACACCTGGGTGGGAAATTTTTTGTGCCCCACCCTGTATAATAAATACTTTAAATTACTAAAAAAATTTACACTGGAATAACTAAAATATAAATATTGATATATACAAGGTGTTCCTTAATACTAAATATCATGCATGTACAAACGGAAGGGGGCGATTCTTTGGTTTTTTCTTATGATTAAATAAAATTTCAAAGAAACATGGGTTAGCAAACGCTTCGTTACCGATCTACAGGGTGTTGAAATTTCAATATATATTTTAGTTTTTTCTTTATAGCTCCTGCGGCTTTCGAGGGATTAAGCCCAAATTTGAAATATAGGTTACGCAATAGGAGCTAAATGATTGTACATTCCACAGAAAGATTGAAACCTTTTGCATTGCCAGCTTTACCAGACAATTATTATTGCTTTTGAGAAAGACGGTTTTTGTGTTTTTGGTGGTGTCTGAGCCCTGATGAGTAATGATGGCTCAAAGGCGAAAACGCTAGGCAGCTAGTAATATACATTACGCTGAATATAAAACTAGTATTTTGACTTTTATTCCCTGATTGTCAAGCACAGCGTAGAACTGAACAGTTTCTATTTACAAAAAGCTACCTGTTCATGTAGTTGAAAAAAGTATTACATATTTATTAAACTAATTTCAGTACATTTTTGAATTTATTTTTTTATTATTTGACAAATTTTTAAAAAATAAAAGGAATAAAAAGATGTTGCTCTGGGGGGGGGGGGCAATTGCCCCCTTTGCCCCCCCCTGGATACGCCAGTGGTTGATATTCTAACCAAAAGCCATTTTTATGCATCCACGACAAGTTTTCCTGACTTCCGGTTTCACCGGATATTACCGAAACTTTCAAATGGCACACCCTGTATATTTTTTGTTTTTCGGATTCTGCAGATCGTTTTACGTCCTAAGGCACCACTCTGGAATCGAGTTTTGTCCAAATTTTGTTTTTAAATTAAATTTTAATTTCATAACTAGAGTGCCATGATCATCCTAAAATGACTCTTTGTACTCTACTTTATTTCAGAAAAATACAAACTCAATTTTATCTTTGTAAACTTTTTTAATAGAGGGCTGTAAACTTCATTATTTCAGTATTATTGCCCTAGCTCAAAAAGACACATATCACTTTCATAACATTACTAAATGCAGTATTTTAAAGCGAATCCAACGATATAATACACTACGACATTTTTCTTAATTTTCATTCAAATATTTTTGTTTCATTATGTAGATAGGTAATTTTTTTTTTCTACTTAATATTTAATTTGAAAACGAAATTTAGACAAAACTCGATTTAAAAGTGGCACATTGCGACGTGAAACAATCTGTAGAATCCAAAAAACAAAAAATATACAGGGTGTGCCATTTGAAAATCGAAAGTTTCGGTAATTTCCGGTGAAACCGGAAGTCAGGAAAACTTGTCATGGATGCACAAAAATGACGTTTCGTAAGAATATCAAGCCTACCAAGTTTACTTGATATCGATGAAAAAATAAAAAAATGGCAGCCGAAAAGTAATCTTGTGGGCACCCGGTATAGTCACTCACAAAGTCAATATTTGAAATAAACAACTATTATGACATTTGTCTCATTGTTACCCATGAAGGGGGTTCAATTAGATACTATATCGAATGAGAAATAATTATTCAAATAAACTGAAACAAACTTCTCTAAATGACCCAGACAAAGTTTCAAAGCCATGAATACATAGTAGGAGTTTAGTTCTTCCGTAATTCACCGGTTTTGGTAAAATCATCTTGATATTTCTTTTAGCAACAGTGGCAATATTTGGAGCATCTGAGAAAAAAAATTCCCTCCATTTTCTCACTTTTCCTTGAAAATGTTAATTCATAATCGTTTTTGTTATCACTATCTATTTCTGTTCACAATTTTCCTTTGTAATAGATTTTTTTCCTTCAATGTTTCGCTTGTAAATTCTACTAAAACATAGTCTCAGTGTTACCTATCTAAACATGTCTCATTCATACCCAAGTTACTTTGAAAAATAAAACCCATTTTTTAGTCCCCCTTTGACCTTAATTGAATTTTAATAAATGGTATCAATAGCAAAAAGGTTCCCTTATATCACTCAAAGACCATGCGTAATGGACAAAATCACCGTTTTCTCAAATTTTGCCAAAAAAGTTCGTTGGCAAAAAAAATAACGGAAAGTTTGTGTACCTTTCCGCGTTGTCGACGAAACTAAAAATTAAAGATGGTTGCAAATACAACCGACACTCCTCTTAAAGCACTAATAATGTCTTATTGCGGCGACACCTATTTAAAAAGTGAAGAAATAACTAATATTTTGAATGTCTTACTGTTACCCGTGTCTCAATGTTATTCACTTTCCCCAACTATGGATGTTTTAGTCCACGTCGCTACAGTTCATATTATTATGGATTCCGCAGGTCCACTAAAACTCTCTTTACAAGTAGCAAATACTTTTATTCAACAAATTTTCTTCACAAATTTCACTAATCACATATCGCTTTCACTTAATTTTATACAATAACTCTCTTATTCAAACTGACTGACTTACTTACAAACTACGCGGTACACAAGAACATTTCGTCAAACTACCTTCACCCTATTAAGATGCAACTTACTCTTCTACATCTATACCTTCATTTAGATCCATAATGATTCTTCATGTCCCTGCCACCAGCAGTAGTAAGTATGCGTTCCAGAGTCCTTGAAACCATGTCTATGGAAATTGTGTTCTCTAGATCTGTGTTATTCGTCATACTTTCAATCAACTTCTTCATCACATCTATCCGCATGCCTATGAAACGAATCCCCTCAAGGATGCTTTCCTGTTCATCAAAATCGACACTAACGTCTGCCACCACTTTTCCTTCTTAACTGCCATGCTACCACCCGCCTTCTCTGCGCCTTCGGGGACGGTCGTAGCATTCGTAGTATTCCTCATTGTAGGGATCTGTATTGTGGCTGTTTGAAGGATGATATTGACCTTCTAGATCAGCAGTCGTACCCCATCAATATTCTTGTTTCTCTCTGTTCGCTCACCAGATTTTTCTTGTTTCCAGATTGTTGGCGATCTTTTTCCGGTTTCCTTAAGGCTCAAATATGGTTTGATGTAACTATTGTCTAATTGATAACCTCCGAGCTTTCCGGAACTTTGCATTGCAATGGGCCTGTATAAGACAACTGCTTGTAAAAGTGTTGTGCGATTCCATTGTCTTATCGCGCTTCAACTGTTTATTGCTAAAGATATCGAAACAGCGAAAAACATGGGCTGAGTTAATTTGAGAAAGTGATACTGTAATTTGTGGTGTTCAGGCGTGTCCTTCGAGTAATTGAAAAGAAACCTTAAACCTTAAACCTTGAAATTCATAGATATCGATTATACTTGGAATGTCTCTGAAAGTTTTGTTATTCTTTTTGTAATAGGAATCGACTAAGGAACTAGTCAACAAAAGTAATGCAATTGATGACGATGACGATGACGATGATAAAGAAGAAGTCTTTCAAACACTATACAAACTCAATACGTCCAAAGAGGCTAAACAAACCATCAAATATTTGGCGAATATCCTTATGCCATTAATAGAAGCATATGCAGTTACAGGATTCACATTGGACAAACTTGTACGAAGGCAGCTTTTAGAAACCGAGCTTGTGGACGAAATTCTGAAGGAAATGAAGAGCCTGTTAAAACGGGGCAGTATACAGTATGGTAAGTATTTTTTTGAAATTCAAATCTCAAAACAATACAATCACTAAATTGGTAAAAATGTTTTAAGCACGTTGCTTTTTGCTGGATTTTACTTGGCGAGTCATACGAAAGGTTCTTTAAATATCTCGAGATCGGTTTGAGATATCAGCTTTGGTCAAGTTTCTATTTTCAAATACTTGATAAGAGAGCGAGCTGGATTGGTCCATGATGCATCATAAGCCATAGGCAATACAAAATAAAAATATTGTAATTATTGCTTGCACTTGGGCCAGTCTCGAAAAACGTTTGCGGTCTCGAAAATATTATAATGAAACGAGCATACCTACAGGTATTTTATCGAAACTTTATTTCGACCCACTTTTGCCTGAACAATACCTGTGCCTGTTGTAAGTAGGTACCTAGTCTTTTGATGATAATCCATACAAATATTCATAAAAAACAAAAAGTTTTTAAAAACTCCACAAATTCAATTCTGTGAAACCGTAACATGTTCCAGCAGACGGTTCCTTCTTCAGACGAATTCCGTCTTTAGGAGCTAAGTGATTTCAAAAATGTTATAAATCTGTGTTTACACAATACTTTTACTGTTTGACAAACTTTCATAATTGAATCCGGTTTTCTAAACATTAGTAATTTTATTCGGTAACTGAACGCAAAACTAAGTAGAGTACACTAATGACGACGCCGCTGGTCTGAATAGGCTTATTTTCGCAAAACCCAGCTTCCATACTTTTGTTCAATTGTTTGTACTTTCTAACCAATTTGATTGCGAGTATAAACTTTAGTAAGTCGGTCTGGCATGAGGAGTGCCATTATCGATTTATGGTACGTGATTACCTACCTCAGTACCAACTTCCTCATAGAGTGCCTGTGAAAAACGACTCCTGATCTTGGCAAACTGGTCGGCATTCTATCCACTTTGTAAAGTCGTCTGGGATCAAGGCGACATATACAGGGTGTCCCAAAATATGTGGGCAATCTCTCGGATTCAGATAGAACACAAAAAAATAACATGACAACTTCCTATAAAAAAAAATTCCTACGGCCCCCCCTACAAAGTTACGTGCCCCTAAAGGACGCCACTGAAAATCGGTTTTTTGTTGATAACTTTCAAAATACTTCGTGTATTTTTTTTTCTTCTAATATGATAGATACTAGGTGAGACTCCCTAAAATGGACCCTCTCAAACACACTTGACCAATCTGGTTTGCCAGGGACGGACTAGCTTTAACGCAATAATAAAACTGAGGAAATATTAGTAGAAAGGATTAATTTTCACTTTCGCGAAATAAGGGGTAATATTGAAGCATTGTCGAGAGTCGAACAATCTTTTATTAAAATAGGTATGGAATGCATAAGATTAGAAGGATCTCATGTTGAGTCTACATAAAAAATTATTTAATAAAAAACCATTAATACACAAAAACAGATTTTTCTTGAAACCAGCTCATTTTTTTGACATCGAATAAGAGTACCTTTTTTCTAGTTCAAGGTTGAAACAATCTAAAAATATTATTGCTATGCCTATATCATACAGGGTGTAAAAAAAATTAGCATTTTTGTGTTAAAGCTAGTCCGTCCCTGGCAAACTAGATTGGCCAAGTGTGTTTGAAAGGGTCCATTTTAAGAGGTCTTATCTAGTATCCATCATATTAAAAGAAAAAAAAATTACACGAAGTATTTTGAAAGTTATCAACAAAAAACCGATTTTCAGAGGTGTCCTTTAGGGGCACGTAACTTTGTAGGGGGGGCCGTAGGAATATTTTTTTTATAGGAAGTTGTCATGTTATTTTTTTGTGTTCTATCTGAATCCGAGAGATTGCCCACATATTCTGGGACACCCTGTATATTGCCTGTAGACTGTAAGATCTGGGGCATATGAATGGTTTTATACATAGCTTCCATCTTTTAGAATCCTCAATTTCTTGGACACAAACTAAGATATAGATTCATGAACGAAATATCTGGGAAGTAAATAGTGTCGAGAGGCGGTAGTATCCAAAACGACTCCACACGCAATCTAAAATCTATAATATTATGATGATCACAAAAGACAAGTTGTCATGCATTAAGCGATAATATGTCGGCATATTTTGGAAATTTCTCCGAACGGTCGGCATTATACCAGGAGAAAGAATGAACATTTCCCCCAAATCTTCAGTTTCTTTGCAAATTTGGGACAAAGGCATTCATTACCAACACTCGGTTAAAGACTTCCTGTGCTATTTAATCTCAATATCAAATTGTTTGAGGTAGATACTCCCAGCCCAACCTGCCAAGAAACTTCTTATGGAGTGAGACCATCTACAGTTCTGATGATCGCTGATAAATGTATAGGGGTATCCTCCTAAATATGACCGCATCTTCTCGACTTCTCAAACAATTACCAGGCACGCAGTCCTTTTGGTTAGGTACCAGAAAATTTATTTTCGCCACGATGCTTGTGTCGTGATGTTCATTATTAGTGGACTGTATATTGAATTCGTCGCTGTTTTTATTCAAATTAAACGCTGGTTTTGTCTTACTTACACCACTTAGTATTTATTCACAGAACTACTTCACTACTTTACATTACTATTTACAAATTTATAATTGTGTGAATGATTTTTGACCGCAGCCAAAAACAGAACTTCTATAACTATTATTATTACAAACTCTCGCGCGAAACACTGTCGCACAACGTGACTCCGTACTCTCTTTTACATCTTCAAGGAAAAACCTAGAGTTCCGGAGTCGCGTTCGACCAATCAGAAATGAATTCTAGATTGTGTTCGACCAATCAAAATTGCTATCAAGTGGCGCGGCATATTGGGTGCTGTTGCTATGCAAATTTTTTTACCTTTATTATTTAATATTATTATATTATTATATTCGAGAATATATTATTTCGCCATACCGCTCCCCTTGAAAGGATTGCTTTCAAAAATGAAAAGTACAAAACAAAATAAGTTTTCCTGAAAAATTTGAAACAAAATCTTACACAATAGTAAAGTATGCGTACTATAGTATTATAAACGCCTACTCTACTAAACATAAAAATCGAATAATAAAAATAAAATAAATTTTCCTCAAAAATAGCATTGATAATAATATAACAAATATCATATTGTCACCTATCTAAACTAAACAAGTTATTAAATGCTATTATCGTTAACAAAATGTTGAATAAAGAAAAAATAATCATATCAAATAAACAAATCATTCATCTAGTCATCTATAGGTAAAACACACACTTTTGACACTGCTCACTTTACTAATCTGTTCGTCGTTTTCACCAACACTACGCGAACTATATCGTCTGATCCAGGATACACATTTTCAATTCGTCCCATCGCCCATTTTAACGGTTAGTCCATTATCATAGGGTCCGCTCGCTTCGATCTCGTGCTAAGTTTAAAAATGCATTATTTTATGAAAATATGGGACTACTTGATTACCAAATGGTATGTTGGCATTTTTGTAAATAATTTTTTTTCCGAAAAACAGCTACTTCAAAATCACGGATGGAACCATTTTTCAAAAAATTCGTATCTCCGTTATCAATTGTTCAATTTCTTATTTCAAAAAAATGGATTACTTGGAAAAGTCTATATTTTAATAGAAAAAATGTTTTTACTACAAATATTTAATATTAAAAGAAAATTTCCACAAAAATTAAAAAAAAACATATACTTTTTTTTTTTAATTATTATTTTTTAACCATCTTTCTTTCTATAATTGTAGATATATGCTGTGCCAACGGTGTATAATAACAAGTGTTCCAAAATGACATTTGGCAATTTATTGTTAATAACATATTTGCAATCAATAACCTATACCCTGATACATTATTATAACCCAATAACGGGAAATAAATAAACTTCACATAAAATCTAATAATATCACAAACATTCTCAATGGACATCAAGACAATTCTGAAGACATTAGCAATTACATATATTTCTTTTAAAAGAAGACAGAATAAAATTGATACAAAAATAAAAATATTCCTCAGCCACAGAGAAACAAAAGGAATAAATTAATGACTTGGCTCAATATTCGAACTCTAACTGGAAACCTGGACGCATCTGACGGAGAACGTCACAAGCACATCATTAGGGAATTACAAAACAATAAAAATAGTTTACAAGAAAATCTTCTGAAACAATACTCGCTTTCTTTAAAAGTAAATTTAACCAAACTATTAAACAAATAAATATCAACGAACAACTTCTAGAATAAAAAATTAACCAAATTGCACATATTATGGTACAGAAGACAGACATAATAAATCAAATAGGTACCTAGTCAATATCTATGAGATAATCGACTCTATTTTACAAGATATAGAAAATTCCTTAACTTTTTCAAAATTGAAAGTCATGCATCCAGGTATAATAAAAACTGAAGACTTTTATCATGAATTAAACAAACTACAACAGCATTTAAGTTCTGAACAAATGCTCCTAGCGGTCACTTTGGAAAATACTTCACTTTTTGAAAAAATAATTCAACTGGAATATTTTGTCTTTAATAATATAATAACATACCTAATACATATACCAATAATGTATTCGGGCATTTTTGCTAACTTTCATTTATACTCGGTTCCAATGATTGCTCAGAGTGAGTTTAAGGTTGTCTTACCGCAAAATAAATTCTTGGTGAAAAATAAATTGTACTACACATACTATGGTCAAGAATGTCCAGAAATTATTCAGAAATTCAATAATTGTGGAAGAGAAGACATTCATGAAATCCAAAGAGACAGCCCATGCGAAATTAAACTAGTAGAATCTGACAAAAATACCTCCACCTGAGAACAAACCGAAGTTAAAGTCCCGCAAATTATCATCAATCGATTGGACGATTCCAATCAATGGATGGTCGTTCCTGTCAAAGAAGCCATCCAATTCAAGGAAGTACAAATCATCATGGGAACATTTATGCTTCAAATACCAATTGGTTGCCAAGTGGCCACCGCTGATACCATGATGCCGACCCTCAATCTAAGTCGACAT